ATCTGACTATCAGAAACCTGTTAGTAGCAAAGGTTAGCTGCTTACTTGAAAGAAGCTAGCTATAGCCATTTTATGTAGCTAACTAAATATAGCTATCTAAAACAGAGGTTGATGGTCCTTGATGTGACGCAAAATTATATCATTATGAATAAATTATATTTTGTAATGCTAACATGTTCCGCATTGCATGCAGTGTGCATGCAAACTGGATCAGCTAGCAAGAAGACCCACTTTTAGGATGAAATACTATTTTTGGTCCTTTCCAATGATTTGCAAACCTGTGAAATCACTTTGACTTGGTCTATCAGTAATGATGGTAGTGGAACTATTTTAGTTCTTGATGCTGTTAGAACACCTATCAGCTTTCTCTCTGTCCCTGTTGGTTTCATTATTGACAGTTAATTAATGACGTGGCAGTATCTCAGTCTACAGGGACTTGGGTTGGGAACTGGAGGGTCGCCGGTTCAAGTCAGAGTGCGGACCAACTTAGGTGCCAGGTAGTGTAGTGTAGTAGTCCCACTCTGACATCGCTACATGTCCACAGGTCCAGGCCATGTGTGAGAAGCATGTCTAACTAACAAAGTGTAAACCATAATTACCCTCAGAGATAAATAAAGTATGTCAAATAAAATAATAAAAATGAATCTATGTACTCAATGTTTGAGAACTCAACAATTACTTCTTACAGAAGATGTTTTTTGTCATAGAGTATGATCTACTAAAGAAAAGCTAAACTTTCCTAGTAAATCAGCTCCAGCTTAAAGTACTTCAAAGAATATTACAGTCAGCATTCTGTAAAACCAGCAGCAAGGAAACGTGATTCATGAAAGCTAAAAATGCTCTAACCAGCTTCTTCCTCCTGCACCTACTCCCACAATTTTTTTTTAACCTAGATGTATTGTTATGTAGAAACATGCCGTGCTGACTTTCAGTAATTTTTCTGCATATTTCGTCTGTCTTGAGGTCAAACATGAGAGGATTAGCCAGCCTTTAATCCATGCAGGAGGTGTTGTGGCCTTGGGCGGCTTGAGTCCTCTCAGTTTAGTATGCATGCTGCCTGGTTTGAAGAAGTGGAGCACACCAGCGCTCTGGGGGGATTTTAAGCTAAATAAATAGACAAAATAAAAGAGCTGGAATAAGAAAAGGGTTTTATGGAGAAAGAGGTGATATTAGCTTTGTGATTGAGTGGGGAGAGTGGGACTCAGAGGGAGAGGGAATAGGCGCAAGTGTTGTGGCATTTTGTGGTGTGTCTGCTGCTCTTAATTATCATGTCCCCACGTGTGCAGTCTCCCATCCCAACTTGCCCACTTTCCTCATCTCCTTTTCAATTTTCTAATTGCTTGGTTTTAATTAAAGCCACACAGAAGTGACATTGAGTCAATTAAAAAAACAAGAAATAGGCACAGATAGTCAAAGGCTGCATGTTTTGCTAAGGGATTTCTGTCAGAGAGCGATGTTTCGTCAAGACTGTCACACTTTAGGATGAGTCAATATGACGCCTCTGTCATGCATGAATAAGTGACGTGAGCTATATCGTGCAGCCTCGTTATAGGTCCATGCTGTGGTGATGTGTAATACACACTTCTATTTCCATACATGATGTACTCATACCAAGAATACTTTTGTGAAGTAGCAAACACCTCTTTTTAATTTATTCTTCCATGTTCAAGCTTTTTTCCTCATGTTTTATTACTGTGATATAACCTTTGTGGTTGTGTTCCCTTTGTGTGTCATTTCCTCCCCTGCGAGTCCGAGCCAATTCCCCTTCCTCTTACTGCGCAATTACTGATGTGCTGTAGCCTCCTGCTCTCCCTCCCTCCGCTTCTCTCATTTTCTTAATGATACCACATTCCATGTTTTAGGACCTATTTCTGCTCATTCCATCTTTTAATTATGCAGCAGCGTTTTCTTTGGCAACTTAACAGCCTACCTATTTTTACACAGAGGATCCTCCTGCAGCTGAACTGGGTCCTGACTGCTGCTGATTGCTCCTACGTTTCCTCTGCAATGAAACAATTACAATCATGTCCCTTCCCTTTGATGTGCTTTGCAAATAACTGGGTTGAATCAGATGAGAGTGTCTATGAGTCAGATCCTTATTTACCTCAAAGTTAAGGAACTCACGCTGGTCTGTGTAAAACTCTCCAGCGACATTTTCACATTATCGTCTTTATTTACAGTTTCATTAGTCAGATGCTTACCACTGATGTCCTCATTGAAGTAGACTAAGTTATTAAGACTGTATTACAAAACAATAACAGACCTTTAGTGTTAGTGGGTCCAAAGAATGTGAGTTAATTAAAGAATGTGTGACTTTTTTTTAGATGTGGTCCATGAGCGCCAAACAAACTGCTTTTTGGCGACACCTCCGCTATTCTGAAGGCTCTGCTGTGGCCTGCATTGTTGTGTTAGCAGGCTAATGTTAGCACACAAAAAATGTAAGCAAGAATGTCATGTCCTAAATTCTTTCAACATCTGGAGGAAAAGTTTGACATGTTGGAAAAACAACCATTTCACAAGTAGTTTGTATTATTACACTCTCATGTCTTGATTGAGAAGTGCAGCCAAGAGATGTTTGGCTTACCTTTAGGTGCAGAAAAGCAGATTATGTTAGTTTTGCAGCTCCAGGATATCTAAACATCTTGGGGTAAACTAGATATATTTATTCCAAAAAATCAACGATGTCAAAATAATTAATCTTAGCCTGGTTTGCTTATTTAAATTTCATTTGAGTTATCGAAGGTGGCATACTTTATATAAATAATAATTAAGTAGAGAAACACCAGTAATAGAGAATTTGTTATTGGCAAACTCTAACTTTAGTGTTAAACATAAAGATTTGAGTAAACTGTAAACATGACCCACCTGCAGGACTCTGTCATTTGGGGGAGTTTGTGTTGTTGTGGTGGTGAAGGCCACTCTGAGCAACTTGACGCAGTAGAAAAACACTTAACTTCCACTTCTGGGTCTTCACTGAAGACCGGGGCGGTGTCTGTTAAGTAATTCGGCTTCCTGAGACATCTTCATATCCAGTGCTCGCTTTCTAACACTGTCTTCTTGTTTTATGATCAGTTTCTTGATGCATGTAGACTCACAGTGGGCGTGAGCGCTGCCAACTGTAATCCCAGAGTGAAGTCATTATTTTGAGTGAATACTCTTTGAAGCTCTTACAACTTCATTCAGAGTAAATTTGTGTTTACTTGAGTTATTTTATTTGATTTTGCTGGACATAAAACACACAAAAAAAGTCCCCTAAAAAATCCTGCTGAGAAAAACCACTACTTGTTGAGGAATTGGCTTTTCTCCATTTGGTCAAAAATGAATTTACTCCAACAATTATTTTTTTTAGAAGAAGGACTTGTATTTTTTTTTTTTCCACAGCAAGGTTTGGGGCTTATTAATAATTGCATCAATGTCCCTTTGCTGACAACAACACCTGCATGCCTGATTTTGCTGCTGTCTAGGCCTAGCTGTAGCTCCTCTCTACGTTCAGATAAGCTAAGGTAACTATATCCTCTTTTTTGTAAATCAAGATTTTATTCATTGAATCTCAAGTAAAGCTTGTAAATTGACCTTGAAGACAAAAAAGGTTTCCTTTACAAAGCTGCTGCCTCATTTATTCAAATGAATCTTGCTTGGTTGTGGACCGTTTTCAGCACCCAAAAAGAATAACAATTTACTTAAGTTTTGCAGATACATAGTCGCTTTAAAAAATGTCAAACACCTAATTGATCACTGATGGTTGAAAAAACAAGTGTTTACTCTTAATGAAGTTCTGTGCTCTTCCCATGTGACCCTTTTTCCTTCTTAACTCCAGATTGATGTTTGTGTGCATGTGGACAAGCTTATTAGACAGTCCACACCCCATCAGCTCCTACAAATAGTAACAAATGGATGCAGGGATGCCTCATGTGTTTCCTGTGTATCATTTAACATCTCATTCAGCTCATTCAAACATGACAACATGAAAAAAGGAAACTCACTTAGCCGACTTCGCAGTTGATCATTATGGATGAAATTGTCATGGAGTCTGAAAAACTACACATACACTATTTATGAGGCCTTTGTTGCCATCAAAGCAAAAGATTAAGAGGAAGCGGAATGTGTGCATCCTCAACAAATAATTTGCAAGATTTAGATTATGGGTGCCAGCAAAAACAAATCATGTTCCAATGAAGTGTTACATAAATTAACATTTTATGTAACTTTATTTAAAAAACCCATAAAATGCTTCACCCTGGAAACAAATGAAGACTGATTTTTCGAGGCTTATGTAAAGGAAGGTGTGAGAGTACTTATTAGGTGGGTGTTGGAATGAGCCGGGAGGGGAATCTGTTGGTGGTGAGTGGATGAGCATCAAACACCAGATGCCAGACCTGCTATCAGTTTATATATAATTACACAGCACTCTCATCCATGCATATAACCATTCCCTTCTCTGCTCATTTATCATTTAACAGAATTTGGAGTGAAAAAAAAAGTTTAATGGAACACCTACTTGTGGATCAATTTCTATCGAGTAAAGGGGAATTTAAAGAAGAGGAAATGGAATTTATGTTCTAAAGGCCCATTAATAATAATAATAGCCTGGAACATCTACAGATACCTGGTGACACTTTCATTAATTTCCTTAGTGCTTTTCAATGATTTATTGAACTACAATATATCACACCATGGTCTGAATGTCATTTTTACATTTTTCTTTTTCCCCCTGTTGGCTCTGAACTTGGTACCTTCTTTTTCTGCATGTTGTTTATTTTTGTTACATACTATTTATAGACACAAATGTTTACGTGGTAAAGTGTGCATTAATCCTACAAGTGTAGGGGAAGAGTGTTTCAGTTTGTTGGAAGCAGTTGTAGTTTAGCCGTTGTAGTTTAGCCAGCACCAAAAAAAGGGGGTGCTGGCTAAACTACCCCCTGGGGCGGAGCATGCTTTTTTACTTGCTCCAAACAAGCTCATTTAATTCAGCACTTAACAGAACCAGACCAACAACGATAGACATAAGAAGATATAGATTTTAATATCTTTATAAACATTTTTGTACTGTTGTTTTTCTGATGATAATTTACTGAACAATTGAGTTATGACAAATAAGGAAGATGAATAGGCATACAGTCGAACAGGTATGGAGGTGAAGAATTGTGCATTAACAAATAAAAACAGTTCTAAAAATATAACATGAAAAATACGTAAATAAAACAAATCACCAGAAAATCAAAAAAAGTCGAAAGACTCCTCCAGACAGGAGGAGCAGATAACCCTGTTATCATCATCAATGTCACTGATATTGTTTTTCTGATAGTTATACAGGAAATGATTAATATCAGCACAGCAAGAAGTCCTCATGTCTCCTTTTTACAGGTACTGTTCACATCATACAAACACCATCTTAGATTTCAGGGAGGCACAAAAGCTATTGAAGTAGGATGTTCCGTATTTGTCCATCTTTTAATCCACATTGTACGGCATCTTCTCATTACTTCACAAGCAGTTGTCTTGGTCTTGGATCCAACCATCCATGGGCGATCTCATCAGTTAATCGAGACAAGTAATTCCCTCAATGATCCCTGTTTCTCCATGCTCCATTCAATGTGTTCTTCTTTCCATCTTTTATTGATAACGGGAGTCAATTAAGGTACCCTCAAATTTTTTCTTAAGTCTTGTCGTCGTATTCCCTTGAAGTTCAGTGATTAAGAAAAGAAATGTGTTCCTCACATTCTCAGTGAGGAATGGTTTGCCCTCACAGAGGAGGGGTCAGTTCAGCAAAACCTCACGAGAAACTGAGAAAGCCCCTTTTGACCCCGAATCTCTAAGGCTCCTGTTGGCCCTGCAGCATGGGGATCTGTCTCTAGGTCCATTTTGTGTCTTACAAAAATCATATGAACAACATCTGACACAAGATATAGACAGACTCTTCAATATTCACAGCTTGATCTCCCAGAGACACATTATTTTCCAAGCAAATGAAATTGGGGCATGGCAGTTCTCGAAAATCTTGAAACAATTAGCAGCTTAATATTCAGTTGCACAGAAGGAGAGAAGTCATGTAAATGAACAGGAAGAAGATCCGTGTGTTTAAAGTGATACTAATGAGAAATATTTAAATGGGCAGGAAGGGCGGTACAATACCTGAAAAAGCTAATATTATGTGTAGAGAAGTTAGCATATGTGACTGCTTCATACAGTGTACAAGCTAACTGGTTGCTCTGTTAATAGCTGTAAAACATAACTGGTTATAGATTTGTATTGGTTGTGAGAATGGCACATTCCTAAGTCTGAGAAAGACTGACGTTTCATTGCCATGCTAACACTCTACCTCTAAGCTTATGAAAAACATTCCTGAACCTGTGTTAGGAAATGATGCAACATAAAAATACATTATACAGAAAGGATAGTGTCATCAACTTTCCATTTATAACATTTGTATTACCAATTTTCAAACTCACAACTGAAAATTAAAGCTGAACAGAGCACCTAGCTTATCCGTCTCAGAGCTAACGAGCTAAGTTTTTCTCCTTTTCCTCAGTCAACTCCGTTTGGATGTTGGAGCTCTGGATGAGGGAAAAGATTAACAAACAAAGTAAACCCAGACAAATGATGAAATGAACTCATACTGGCATAAGTGGCAGTGCAAGCTTGGTCGACAATAACCTTTCTTTTATTCTCTGACTCTCAATCCTTTTGACTTTTGTGCTGCGAGTCTTTCTGTTTTAGATGTTTGATGCTTTGAAGGCCGTTTGAGTCTGAACAGTAAAGCTCCCTACACAACATTTACACATATAATCACACTCACACACACACATACATAAATGACACATAGGCCTTGTAGTGCAGGAGCAAGAGAGGGTCCCAAGGGCTATGTCTTTTGTGATTAGCCAAATCCTCTGAAGGTCAGCGGAGAATGTTGTCAATATTTGTCGTTAAAAAGGCCACAAAAAGGGCAGGGATGTGTAGTAAGGACAGGGATAAGGTTGCCCTATTGTTGGCTTGCTGAACCCCACTAGGGGGGCGGACAGTGGTCCGGGGAGTGCACTTGTGCTTCCTCCGTGTGACGGTGCCATCTGGGGATGTGTGGTCATGTTTCCCCCCCTCTGTGAAATCTGGGGAGGAATCCTCCTTGTCTGCCATGACCTCCTTTGAGTGGTGAACCTCATTATCACCCTTCCCCTTGCTCCCTCTGGTACGAGGCTTTGTGCAGTTCCGAGGACGACCAGGCCTCGAGGGCTGGACTAGGTGGGTCTGCCCTCCAGAGCCCACCACGACACCACGATTCATGGAGGGATTCACCGTACCAGATAAATTGTTAGTCTGGGCTCTAGACTCAGAGTTAGGTACAGTTGGGGAACAGTTGGGAAAGTCCTCCTTTCGCAGCTCCTTGAGGTCTTTTCCATACATATCAGCTGGTGCCTGGCAACCCACAGAAGATGTTGAGCCTCGGAAACGTTTCAGCCATTCCCAAAGCGAAAGGGCCTTGCAGTCGCATGACCAAGGGTTGTCATTGAGGCGCAGATATTCCAAGGCAGGCAGAGTGTCCAGGCACTGTCCGGACAGCTGTATCAGGGAGTTGTTGAACAGATAGAGGGTGGTGAGACGTTTGAGATCATGGAAGGCCAGGCGGTCAACCCACTCGATCTGGTTTTGATGAAGAAGCAGTCGGTCCAAAGCTCGAAGGCCCCTGAAGGTGTTCTGGTTAACACGCCACAGACGGTTTCCATGCAGGAACAGATGGCTCAGATTGTGGAGGTCCATAAATGTGTCATCCTGCAGGAACTTCAGATGATTATCCTGTGGAGATACAAAGAGAACACAATCAAGATTATATGCAACTTGTTTCTACAGAGTAGAAATGTTTTTTTTTGTGAATCAGGGCATGTTCCAATGTGTGATCATCTGTTCAATTCAAAGTTCTCAGTGCATGAACACAACAGGCTGAGCCTTGTACTCAAGTGGGAGGCGAAGATGCACTGTCCATCTGACTTATTGCATGCCCTGCTGCTCTCTAAAATCTAGCAAGGAGTGCTGAATGGATAATCAGGATACTAAACCATCTGAGCAGTGATGTGTGAAACAATTTCGGCTGAGACACCACTGATGAAAATGTCTGGTATAAGGTAAGGCTGTGTGCTGATGTACATGCAGCTGCCAGCTTGTCACTCAAAGCAAGGTGGCAGTGGAGACATTGATTGACCAGGCAGTAATTCTGCAGTGTAGTTGCAAATGTACTAGAGTTTGTAGAATGGTTTGTGTAAGAATACATTTGCACAGATAATTTCAAGTTCATTATTATCTAGTTTACCTGTAAGTAGAGATACTGCAGGTTTCTGAGGCCTTGGAAGATGTTATTAGGAAGTGAACTGAGCCCACATCGGTACAGGTGTAGCGCATTAAGCCGACTCAGCCCATGAAAGGTGTCTTCAGCCAGGGAACGCAGGTGGCGGTTGTCACCCAGATCCAGTTCCTCAAGCAGCATGAAGCCGTGGAATGTGGAGGGCTCGATGTACGTGATGTTATTAGAGTAGATCCAGAGAGTGACCGTGTTGGAACTGAAGTGACCCCGGAGTAAGCGATGGATTTTATTGTTCTGTAAGAAGATACGTTCACTGTCAGGAGGAATGCCTTCAGGGACAGACAGGAAGTTGTGGGCTTGGCAGGAGACAGTGCTGGGTGCAGTGTAGCAGGTACAGTGACGGGGGCAAGACCAGGATAACTCGAGCCCACAGAGAACCAGCAGGAACTCCAGCCCGCAGCCTGTAGTTAGAACAAACACACACACACACACACACACATACATTCACAGGTTGAGCAAGAGAGAGAGAGAGAGAGAGAGAGAGAGAGAGAGAGAAAGGTTGACAAAAAGATTACAGACACAAATCATCATCACACACACAAAGACAGGGAAACAGAAAAAGAAAAATGTATTGAGTGCAGGGTTCATTTAAACTGCAAATATAGATTTTCTTTTCTTCTTTTTATTTTAACACTTGAAAAGAAGGAATAACAGACTCTTGCAGCATTAGCAAGCTAACTTGCTAACACAAACTGCAAACATGCTAATGTTCAGCAACAATAATGGTTACCATGTTTGCAATCTCAGTATAGGATGCTGTTATTCTTACATTTGTATGTTTCTTTGAGGATTTGCAGGTGTTTAAAAAAAAGTCAAGCCCCTTGTTGAGGTGAATGACAACATCACCAAGGTTAGCTAGTTCCATAGAAATCCAAGTGATAGATAATATAATGGTACTCTAAACCACAATTACCAACTTCTAACAATCAATCACCCAGAAGTTGTTGATGGATTTTATCACGACGATTTCACGAGGTGATAGAAAACAGGTCATTGGGCAGAAAACCAAAACGTGGCACAGTATCAACAAAAAACTGACTCACATTTTCATCATGCACATAAATTTGGGTTTCATATAGGTCAAGAATATTTGCTGCTTAGCATTTTGTTTCCCCCAGGTTTATCCGTTAGGGGTGGTGGCCTGGTCCCCGGCTAACCTCACAGGAAGGAGCGAGGAATTCAGGGAGGAAACAATAAGATAAAAGACAGAAAATACGTTCATGATCTGTTGAAATAAAACGAGTGCACTTAAATGACATAAATAAAGTATTTTGAGCCTTTCTTTTTGGGTAGTGAGAGGTCATGTTGGGGTGGTGAGCCACCATCCCAAATAAATGGTAAGTTTCACCTGTGCTACACATACTGTATGAAACTCCTCTGCCACAGTTTACTGCCTAAATCCACAGAATGTATTTAGGCCAACAATGAAGGTAATATTAAATACAGCTAACAATAACACCTGCTAAAGTGAGTCTCAAGACTGCTCCGTCAAGCTGATGAATCCCTAGTGCAATACTTGCCTGATTCAACACATATGCAGCTATTTCAGCTTCTGATATTCTCACACCTTTAGGACATGTGCTATTAAGAGCCAAATCCCTTCCCTGAGTCCATTCGCACTACTTTGCAGAGAGTGGAGGCTGTGATCGGTCTTTTTGTGTTGTTAAATGGGCCGTGGAATGCTTATTTAAACTTGTAGTAAGCTGCTCTGAGGCACTTTCTGATCGGTGACACGATTCCCCAGATCTTTGAGACGGGAAATGTGACTTATCCACAGTCTCATCTGAAAGGAGCGCAACTTACGGCCCTTCATGAGTGCTCCATCTGACAAACCCCTGGCTGTCTTTTGCTCAATTTATTATTCATAGCATGGCGAAGGCCTGATTCACTACCTTCAATCGATACGCCTCTGTTGCCTTTGAAATCGCCCCGTAATCCCGGGTCCTTTATGTTGGAAATTCAGGAGCTGCGGAATTACTCTCCACCAAGAGACAAGCGTATTTATCTAATATATTTTCTTGCCAAACTGTGGCTAAGCTGTGACATTCAGTGTCTGACTTCACTGACCTTTAGCTGTAATTCTCTGTGTCTAGTTGCAGAGCCCGAGCATGCATTGAGCGGTGTGTCACCTGAACAGGAGTGTGCTCTCTCGGGCACGGTCCTAATCCTATTTGATAAGCCCTGCCACTGGGCAACAATGGAACCACATGCATCCTCCCAAATCAGAAATATGCCCAATAAATGAGGCAATTCTTCACAGTTGAACACTGTCAAAGGGCTGAATGTGAGTGTGTACTGATGTGTGCTGGTATGCAAGTGAATTTGTTGTGCTGGAGACCATGACATGTCATTGGAGCACTACAACAGGAATTTGCTTTATTTAGACTTTTCTTTATAATGTCATGACCTGCTTCAGTTCATGGATTCCTTTATTTATTACTGGCAATGTCCACATTTCTTCACACCGTCAACGCCAAACAAGGTAGCTATTTGAGTGTTTTTTTTTATCCAGGAAGCTGTTTTTCTAGTTTTATCTCCATTGTTCTCTCTACTCAACTTTTCCATGGGGAGGTGTTAGGCATGGCACCCACTTACTGAGTAAATAGGTGGGAATGGTTTCCATTATTCTTATGAAAGAGACATTTTCTACATTTATCAGACAAATAAGAAAGACATGATCAACTGTTAGAGGAACATTTGCATCAAGCAGCAGCCAGCAAGTACTTAAGATGCAACTGCTAGTCATTCAGATATTTGATTGTTGTTGAAATCTTATTACACTACTGACCCTCAAACAAAAAACATTTTCATAAAGCACATATAAAATACAACAAATTAAATCCCCATGTTGCTCTTACATTTGTTCTGAGATAAAATGATTTAAGTCATGAGTAAGAATTCATTCTCAAGGTTCCATTATTCATAAAACTGATCCGCTGCTCACTCCAGTGATTATATTTTTCCCAGGCCTTAAAGTATTTCCATTAAAGCTTCACTTCATGCATGTCAATAGAATTACAGCAGCAGGTTTCTAACAGGAAAATTATCCGAGCAGGCGAGAGATAGACACTGATAAGTGTGATACGCAGGCAGAGCGCGGGAAGGAGAATGTAGATGCCGCCTAGATAGTGAGACAATTTGAATCAGTGATCTACTAATCACGTTGGACACATAAGGATGCGCCCCCTCTCCTCTCATTCTCCTCAGCTTGACAGGAAAAAGTAATAGATTCTTTACCCTGCTTAATCCACTCTCACAAAATGGCTGTTTTAGCTGCGTCGCCACGTTTGCTGAGAATAACAGAAAGACAAAAAAACATGGGAGATGCTGGTTGGAATATCTTCCCTTTTCCCTCCCCTGTGAACGAAATCCTTTAACTGCATCCCTGATGAGGCTTTCGAAGATGTGAATATATGATGTGTTACACTCTTTAGATGCTCAAAGTAGCTTGTGCACTCTCTTCTACATGCAGATTGAGTGACGAGGGAGAAGCAAACAGCGCTTGTCTTGTTTTTTTAGCCACGCTGAGGGCATGTGTGCCGTCTTTTGATGCTGGCAAAACACGCATTTCCACAGGAGACTTTAACACCTGCCAGCCAACTGATCCCAGCACCATGTGTGTTCACATCTCCAAACACTACTTAAAACACAGGTGTAAGTTGGAATGGATGTGAATTAACACTACATTTTGTCCCAGGAATATTTGATTCAATTTAGTTTATGTATAAATATACTCTCTGCATGGACTCACAAGGCACACGTTTTCAAGCAACAACACTTGAAAACAAGTTTGAGAATGAATGAGACGGATCATGTCTTTTTGACAAGCATAAAAGGATGAATGAGGCTTGTTTACAGAGCTTTGAAAATGGCATCTTGTTTTCAACACTGAGGAAAAAAACAAGCATTGTGTGAGACTGCTGTCCTTAAGTGAAAAAGTTAGAAATTAATGTGTCATAACTGCATTGTGCGCTCACACAATGGGCCATTCAGCTGGAATTGTATTACATAAATAGCTTTGGACACAAAGGAGCATATATATGCCAATAGTGCCTATTGGAATTTGGCAGAATAAAGGAGAGGCTCTGAAAGGGAGATAATGTGTTTTTGGAAAGGACGCAGCGCAGCTATTTCTGAGCTGTGTATTAACGCTCTCGTCAAATGTCTTTCACCTCCAAGTCGTCCCCCACGCCGGTCTCCGTCACCCCCATCTTCCTCCCCACTGATTAGCGATGACAGATGCTATTGATAGCCAGAGAATCACATTTGACCCAGCAACCCCATCATCAGCAAGTTCCCTTTTTTTACTTTGGGGGTGTTGAAATGGAAATAGATAAATAAATGAATAAAACACAATGGCTCGGGTCCCCTGGCAGACTGCTGAGTGACTGCGTAGAATATCAGTGAAGCATAGTTCACACCAGATTTGCCCTCATGAATAACACATCTCTGCTAATAGGAGGGAAATGGTTTCGTCTGTAGAGCTGCGTGACTCTTCCCATCATTAGACTGGACAAACTCAATTTCCTGTGTCTCTCCAAAGGCCCCGATAAGCACCCCGGTGTTTTGGTTCCTGCTGTTTCTAAATAACGCGTCTGCTCACTCCGCACTCTAAAGCTGTAGTCGGTCATGTTCATGTAGACAGTGGTTTATAATGTTAGTGCAATGTAGTGGATTATTGATTCACTGGGCTCATTCTTCTGAGGAGCATGGTTTATAATGTGTGCAGCATCAATATGATCCTGTGGAGCTAAATGTGCTGTCACTGTGTATGAAAAGGTGAATGCTTTGTAGTAGAATTGTTAGGTCAGTATATATACTGTTTATATGTACAGACAAACTATCTGTCTGAATACTTAAAGTCCCTATAACATGAAGTAACACTGGAAGTGGTTAGAAATGGACTTCTCATGGTAACTCCTATATGTATTGCTATAACTTCCAACACACTCAAGGATTTATTAGCCATTAACCTTCAGTTATTTCTTGTTAAAAGTGCATTTCTCAAGAAGGAAGTCTGACCTTAGATGATGTGAGGAGGAGATCCAGAGGGCGGCTAATCATGAAGAAAAAGCTGTATAGAAAAATCTGGAAAGCTTTCTTTCTGCTCCCTAGCCATCATATTAATACATTTATTTAAGCAACTTTCTTTTCCTGATGTCAGAATCAGAGACATCTTTATAAGCCAGGTATGCTTACACACACAAAAGGAATTTGACTTTGATGGACTGTGTTCTCTGTACAAAAAGTAAAACATTAAATATGAACAATAAACACAAACTAAGCAAAGGCTAATATGCAGAAGACTATAAATCAGACAATAAAGCAGTGGTGAGTAGTGCAAAAAAAGCTGAGATAAACATGATCATAAAATAATACAGAAGGGTTAATATAGACCTAC